ATTGCTTTGAAGACTAGACCATGGTATGTCTTGAAGCGGCTGAACCATCCCTCGCTTAGGGCGAAATTCTGAACACCCATTTGCATGGTGATCTTCCGAGCTTTCTGCTCGAGATTTGGTTCGCTTATGGGCAAATTACAACTCTGTGCACGCCTGAACAACAGAAAAAGAACTTTTTCTAGTTGTTCATAAGGCGTCGTCCACATCCGCAACCATTTAGATGTAGAGGTCCCGTTCTTTACAGTGCCTTAAATTTTTTCTGTCTTTCTAGATTCGCGACAGCATCGATTTCGGGATGTTGCATTTTTTCACCACTTCTATCTTGGGCAAGCCTCTTCGATCGAGCTCCTGAACAATTTGGTGCATGGTGCAGCCGCTTCCTCTCCATTGGGCCGAAATATACACTGTGATCCACTGCACCTAGCTGCACAAATAGGCCTAACGTACAACTGACTCACCGACTCGTCTCCCACAGCTACCACAAGCGAGAATGGCTACTGGATTGGCTTGTCTCGAGGTGTTGCCATGGTTGTGAGGCTACCTTTGGCATGAGCGAGTCTATGCTGGGTTTAGCGTTCGAGCCGTTTAACAGTAGGGTACAAATAAGCAGTGTTGCAATTAACCGATTAATTTTACAGCACAAGACATAAAAATACAGCCACATGAGCCCATTAAGTTCTGTTCATGAGGCATTTTCATTTAAGCATTTGATTTATAGGGATTCCACTGTACTGCAGTTGTGCAACCCCTCAATCAAGGGGTGATCATAAACTTCAAGTCAGGCTACTAGTGCAAACAGTTCATTGATCGAATTTTGCTCAATGTGAGCATGAAGCACAAAATGACGATCGACATAGCGATCGAGATGTTGTAAGCTGTCTGGATGGCCGTAACGGCAAGCAGGATTGCTAACTGCTTCCGGCATGCCTCATTTGGCGTCAGCAGCTCTGGAGAGCCCAGACTTCGGCGATGTCGCAAGTGAGGGTGGCGTGGGCAACCAGGCCCAGTCGTCGTGTGGGGCTCTCCTTGATGCCGGCGTTGTGCCTGAGTGCGACACTTTCTGTACATTCGTCGATGCCAATGCCGACATAATGACAACCAAAGAGTTATCAGATGCGGAAATCGTGCGCGCAGTGACGGGGGTGCATGACGACAGAGACAATTTTGTCGACAACCCGGAGCCTAATGTTGGGAATGCACTAACGCCCACCTAAGCACTGGATGCGACAGACCTGCTGCACCGCTTCTTCGGTGCTTACAATGATGACGAGGACGAACTCGAAATGGCTGTTGCAGCTGAAAAAGTAGACATCCGCGTAAGGAATAGTCAGCGAAAGTCAATTCAGAATTTTTTTTTTTAGGGGATCTGCCAGCTGGTGTGCTGAAGATGGCTGAAATAAAGCGCATTGTTCGTTATTTTGCTAGCTTTTGCCTTACGGAGGCTGTTTTTCTCTGCGCTGCGGGCTGCCAATATATTCGGTAGTGAGTACATTCTCTCTTTCTGGTTGATTGTAGGTAGAAATGGATATTGGCTAAAACAAACTAATGGTTATAAGGAGGTAATTACGAATCCCCCTTAAACTTTGTTATAATGAAGTTTGACTCTATGCTTGCATGTAGGCATTGCTTTCACAGATAGTGCATGCTTTTGCAGCATGCAACTACAGTGCAGTCCACTTATAACGATATCGAGAAAACCTAAAAATATGATCGTTATAACCGGTGATCGTTATATCTGGACTGCCGCCAAAAAATCGTCGCCGGACGTACCTTTTGTAGCTCCAGGCTTCATTTCGCTATTTTCACCAATTAATAAATATTGTAGATAGTAGGATGTCAAAAACAAGACTTTATTTCTTACTCCGAAGAACGCATCACGGGTTCACTGAGGAAGAGAGACTGACCGACGGCGGGGTGGGAGCAGTGGGAGGAAGAAAGCACAGCCAGAGGTACACAGCCGGAATGCCAACGAGGCCCCGCCCCGATGCCGCGGCGCCGCTTTGCTTTTCGCTTTTTTTTATTTTCTCTCTCTTTCCCGCTTTCGTTCGGCAATCTACGAGTAGCTTGCCGTTGTAGAAGGCGGGGAGCCGCGGAGCGCGGCACTTTGCTTTTCGCATTTTCTTTTTAAATTCTCTCAGCCTCTCCGCGGTCGACGCGCGGCGAGGCGCAAAACGTGACACAGCTGGCGCCATCTGTAGCGCGTCGCGCCAACTCGCGATGCTCTCCTCGGCTTTCTGAACGGCCGGGACGCGCTGCCGGCGCTGTGCTGCAGCGGCGGCAGATACGTACTCACCTACGCTAACTTTTCGTCTTGTCTCGGCATAGTTCGTTTCAGAGGAACTTATCAATCTAAATGTTACGATTATTCTGAATGAAACATGCCGTCCACGGCAAACTTTTCATCGTTGTATCCGATATGCGGTGGATAACATATCGTTATATATGGTTTTTTTTTTTCCCATAGCCCCAATGCATAAAATGAGACTGTTAAGTCGACCCATCGTTATAACCGATATATCGTTATATGTGGTATCGTTATAAGTGGACTGCACTGTACAGTAAAACCTCATTATAGCGAAGCGGGATATAACGAACTAACTGGATGTAATGAAGCCATTGTAATTCCCCCGGAAACTCCCATAGACACCCATGTATTCAAAACCTCGTCGAAGTGAAAATTTCCCCACAATGAATGTAACGAACTATTCCTCGTCCACAATGAGCATTTACTGAACATTTTGGTACACGTCAATTCTCAATATCTTATAGCGCGCAACAGTTTACGCCTCATAGCGGCGAACATAAGCGCAAAAATATAACAACCGAGCAGAAGTCGACAATGTTGAAAGCCCTTGAGTTTGGCATCAAGAAAAAAAAGTGGCCGAATATTTCGCCGATGTGTTGGTGCCGCGGGCGACCAGGCCTAGGCGATGTGGGATGCTCTCTCTGACGCCGGTGTTGTGCCTGACTGCAACACTTTCTGCATGTACGCCAGTGTTGATGTTGACGCGGTGACAACCGAACAGTTGTCAAATGCGGAAATTGTGCCCGCGGTGACGGGCGTGCATGATGACAGTGACGAATGTTTCGACACCCCGGAGCCTAACGTTGGCGAACTTGGTGAACCCGATGTACCGCCGCCCGCGCAAGTGCTGGATGCCACAGACCCGCTGTGCCGCTTTTTTGGTGCTTACGATGTTACGATGACGGCGAGGACGGACTCGAAATAGCTGCTGCAGCTGAAAACGCATTCATCCGCCTGAGGAAAAGTCGGCAAAAGTCTATTGAGGAATATTTTTCTTCAAAGTGATCTGTCAACTGGTGTGCTGAATTTGGCCAAAATAAAGTGCATTGTTCTTTATTATTTTGCTAGTTTTTTGCCTTACGACGGCCATTTGAACCTGCGCGGAGGGCAGCTGTGATATTTGTTGGCGAGTATGTTCTCTCCTGCTGGCCAATTGTTGGTAGGGATGGATATTGACTATAACAAACTAATGGTTATAACTAAGTAACTACGACTCCCCTTTCAACTTCGTCATAACGAAGTTTGACTGTAGTATTTAGCAAGTGTTACGTTGAACTATTCCTCACACCGAAGCTGTTGCTTTGAAGGTTTCATGTACAGTGGAACTTTGATTACATATTCTCCCGGTTTCGAGACAACCCGCATTTTATGACAAATCGGTTTGGTCCCGGCAAACTCACCGTAGAAATAATGTACTAAAAACCTTGGTTTTACAATGCAGTTTTACACCAACACCGGACGACTTTCAGATTCTAAAAAAAACACATTAGCTCTAATAAAACATCGACCAAATATTCACAAGAGCAAGGTATGAACCTGCATTCCCTTAGGTTGACGATTAGAAATCTACAAAGTGAGACAGATGTCCCTTTATGAATGGAAAATTGATTCTCCTGGAAGTTCATGCGCTTCTACACACCCCTCGACCGCATGCGTACGTATCCAGGGACGTTACCTAGTCAAGCTCTGTTCACACAGAGTAGCTTCAGCCGGCCAAAAAGCTGATATCTTCATCTTTTTGCATCTGATCTCCTGCCTTTGTCGCACTCGCAGTCACAGGCTTACGCACGCATTAGGGCGTGACGCAGCTGTTTTCAGAGTGCAGAATTACTTTCACTTGACGTAAACGTTCATAATAACAGAGGGACATCACAATTTGCACTTTACAAGACAACAAATTACGATGCACACAGCTAAATCACACACGAAGGCATTCTAAGCATGGAGGAAGGAACCGTGCTTCTACGAAAACTCATGGTCGGTCGCCATTATGTGATAGCAATGACACTGTGTTTGACTCTTCTGATGACAGGCTATTGGCAACGTGGTTTCGGTTTCATTTTTGTGCACAGGCAATTTTCGAACTATATTTATTGATAGAAAGATGGCCGTTGGATTGCTGGAAAAAATTAGCGCTTTTCAGAAAAATTGCTCGTACTTAGCAGCTCTTCAGCAGCAGTTTCTAATGTTTGTTTCCGTGCAGGTTTAAAAGAGAAAAGAGTAACACAGAATAGACAGGAAGGTTGGCCGCTCTGGCATTTCGCAGCCATAGAATCAATGCCACTTCAACGTCTAGCAAATTCGACCCTTGAACACGCTTCCGTTTGCTGGAGAAGCTCTACTTAAATCCATCCAGCACCTTCTGCTTGCTTTTCAGCACGGTCGAAAGCGTAGACAAAGGCATGAAACAAAGTTAAACCAGTTGAGAATAATTTTCGCTCACACCTTCTCCAACTATGAAGCACTGCCATTAGCTGTCACCTTTCACGAATAACTTAATCTACCTTCCTTGCATGCAGAGGCACAAGGTCATACTGTGGGCTGATTCAGGTGGTCTGTACTCGTTTTTTGGGCAAGGCTCAGTGTCACTGCCTATAACTGGGGTTCCACTGTAGCTAGGTTCGACTGTGTTTGGTGCAACCATCTTGCACCAGAATGATCCCTACTAAGCTTATTTAACAGCAGCAACCCTCACCTGCCATCGAGCGAGACCAGCTCATCTCGATCACCAAACAAGGAGAACGACGGGCCATAAGTTGAGCCTACAGATTGCGGGCCCGTGGCAAAAGCAGAAGAGCCCAGGTCGACGCGGCGCATGAGTGGCAAGCTTTGGCCGGGTGGAGGCCGTGCAAGTCCTAATCGATCGGCAATCCGCTGCCGCACTGATGGAGGACAGGCCAGCGGTCTTGAGGACAGACGTGATCGGCGTGTCTGCAATAACAACCAAAAAAAGTACCGAAAAGCTTATTCCGCTGGCACAACTGTGACCGAAATCGTATGGCTTAGAGGGTCTCTGAACCACTCCGTGTTTGACTACAAGAGAGTGGCTTATTTCTCATATTTACTACGCTTCCTACAGATGCTATCCCCTCCTCGCCATTCATTGCTCCACAAAACAGGTTGTCAATATCAACACTGAGTGTTGAGCCTACCGAGACGTCACACTTCTTGACTACACGCAGCGACTCCCGCTTGTACAGTAGCGAACGCATGAAACAAAGTTAAACCAGTTTATCGCACAAGACAATCATGCCAGCAAAGACAAAACAGGTGTGCAACTACAGAGCAAGGAAGGGTAGGAGACCATTCACAACTGACATCCCTCGTATACACAGTAATACCTTGTTAAGTTGAAGTCATAAGAATGAGCGAAAATTTCGAGATAAATGGATTTTTTAGATAAGCAAAGTTGCGCTAATCGCTGGGAAAAATCAACACTTTTCAGAAAAATCAATAGTACTTACCAGCTCTACAGCAGCAGTTTCTAATTTTTGTTACCGTGCAAGTTTAAAAGAGAAAAGAGTAACATAAAATAGATGGAAAGGTTGGCCGCTCTGGCATTTCACAGTCATACCATCAACGCCACTTCAAGGTCTAGCAAATTCGACCCTTGAACCCGCTTCCGTTTGCTAGAGAAGCTCTGCTGAAATCCATCCAGCACCTTCTGCTTGTTTTTAAGCACGGTCGAAAGCGTAGACAAAGAAATGCCCAAATTCCTGCACGATACTCGTTTTTGTTCGGGTTCCTTCCTCCACTTCCTTAATTAGGGCAACCTTTTTTGTAGCATTAGCGACTTGCACTGCTTTGACGCCATGCTTGCTGCACTCACGCTAAGTTGCCACTCCTCACAGTCAGTGAAAAATCCGTACCGCTCGTTTTGCATCGATGAACGGAAATCACACCTCGGGGAAAATTACGAGCACTGCACAAAGGGAACGAAACAAACTATGCCAAGTGTGGGCAGAGGGCCTCCCTGCTCAGCGCATGTGTCACATGACACGCCACAGGGTTGCTTGACGAAGTTGATGCCGCTGGGCTGAGACTTTGCGCACTTCGCGTTTGCAGACAAGTATTGACGTAGTGGCAGGTGCCGCTGCATAAGAATAAAAAAAAAAATCAACGAACTTTAGGCATGGCAGCATCGCGTGAATCCTGCCAAATGGTCTGGCGGCAGAATTTCATCCCACTCCTAGTTAAGATTTTCCAGTTATCCGCAATCCGACTCAAAAATACTTTGAGATAAAGGGAAAAACACACATGGGACGTAAAGGAAAATGTTCGGTGCCCCGAAAAAGTTTGACTTAGCTGATTTTTCCAAATATGCGAGTTCGAATTATTACTGTAGAAAAATCGAGAGCTTATTTCCTCTTCATGTCGTGTGCACAGACTGCTGGCATCACTATCTGCAGAAGAGACGGTAAACAATAGGAGAGAATAACACGCTCATTCTTCATAGTATTTTCAAAAGTTTGTTTATGGGCTCTTCCATCTTCGTTCAGTATGTTGGTCAATCTGTCACACTATCTAGGAGTAAAGAGCAATTGAAACATAACATAGTCCAAGAAACACATGCGTTGTGCAGCCAAATCATTAAACTCCTAAAACACACTGCTAAGCAAAATAAGAGCGGCACATTACACTTTTTTTAAGTGCAGTGCAATCACATTTTATACAGGACTGGGCAAGAATGAAAAGCTGGAGAAAGAACAGAAGGTGAGGCATGCGTACCTCAATTTGCATTCCTGTGCCACCTCTCCATAATATCAGATTTTAACATCTGCTCACATTCCAAACATCTACTTATCAATAAATACATATAACACGGCAGTAGCACTGCTGGAAGTAACATCTGATGATGAGGAGGCTTGCTAGAGAGCATGAAAACAAAATGCTGAAGTGACCAAACTACAGTTGCCAACCGCTTATTCGGAGTTGGCGGGAACAGCCGAAGAGTCAGAATCGACAGTCAGAAAAAAAGAGTTCAACAGAAAAAAAAAGCACCCTTAATGGTGGCCCGGTGGCCGGTAAAACTTGTCATGCACATCTGCACACAAGCATGGTCACAGACAACCAACTCTGCCTGTAGTTAGGTCAGTGTTTGCCCATAACTGAGCTTCTTCGATTTACCTGTCTCGAAAAGCTCCGGACGGCCCCGGACGCCGGCGCCGCATTTGTTTTTCTCGGAGACCTAAAGAGAAGCTCCACCCACTGGTCCAGAACTGCTCGAACGCATGTTCTTTTTCACATGCCTGGCGGCCTGCGGGCGGCCTGGAACTGTGTGAACGATTTCTTTCGGGCAGCCTACTGACGACGGCACGGTGTGCATGGCTGTTCGGCCATCTCAAGCTAGACATGGGAAATTTTCGACGCGCTCCTGCTTTCTGTTCATTTCTCGGTCCGCTTCTTGCGTGTCTCTTAATTCTGCATTGTTTGCACACACAGTTCTTGTCATTGGCATTCTGAGCCACGTCGAGAGCGTGCATATTCCCGAAGATCGGGCAAACATGCATGATACTCGCCAGGAGAAACAGCGGTGCAAGGACCATGTGGGTCTACGATGCATGTGCACTCAAGTAGTTCAGCGCACATGCTAAACTATTAGAGCGGCACATCACTCTATTAGTTCCATCATGGAAATAGGTATAATACATTATATAACTACTGTTGAAGTTGTGATTGGGCCGGCGTTGTGGCCTGTGTCGCTGCCATGAACGGAGCAGTTTAGAGCAGACGGTATAGCAGACGCCACAGTGGACGCAGACAGCATCAAGCGCGCAGATGGCTCGAGGACTGGCTCGGGACTTTTGGATCATATGCATGTGACATAGCCGCCTATGAGCCGAGGAGTCTGCAAGCCGCCGGTGAGGGGTCCGGGACTTGGTAAATCCATGAAGCTCACTGTAGGTTGTAGCGCCGTTACGGCCAGCGCTTCACTGGAGTCACTGTTTACCTGCGCTGGTTCGGGGACCTGATAGATGATTTCATCCTTGCCCAAGTTGACGAAAGCTCCTGAGCAACATTGCATAAAGGCTGAGCAGCCTTCGAATAGCAGCTTTTTTCCTCCATCATCAATGTCTTGTGGTTGATGCATTTCATGGTTAGTACTGATGGCACAGATGGAACAAGCATAGAAGCCATATCCGCAGATCAGGCCTCGCATGTCAAGCAACGTACAAGAGAGCAATACAGATCAGGCCTAGCCACAGAGACAACTGACAAGCAATCTCTCTAAGGGCAAAAAAAAACAAACTAAGCCTCTTTTCTGCTGCAGAACTTGTGATTCTGTCCTGTTTTTGTCCATTTAGTACGTCCAGCCACTTCGAATGTCACAATGAGCTTTGGACTTGACTTTCTGTTGAACCGTGGTAGCCATTCGATACACTCTCAGTTGGCTCAAGCGGAAAAATGGCTTTTACGAGTAGTTGAAACTCGTAGCCTTCAAGATAGGGAAGTGTTATTTCTGCCTTGACTTTTGCACTGGCACGATCTCTTAGCCATAGTCAGTGCAACCGGGCAACCTAGCAAAGATATTGTAAGCATCACGACCAGCTTGGTGTTCAACACTGCACTCCATCAGCCAACGAACTGGAAAAACTCAAACAGTGCACTGTGGGACGCAAGTTTACACTAATTTTATGGGATGGGCGGTGGTGCCGCGAGGGTGTCCAAATAAACAGGCATGTCTAAATTAATGATCGGCGACTGTATACTGCTCACCTGCTAGTGAATGGTCAGTAATGAAATGATCTGCAAAAATCTAGCAACACTACAAAGTTTTTCTTTTAACAAAACAGTGACATGACATGGATGTTCTTTCAGTGGTGATGTAGCAGTTGCGCATAACGCCACAAGGCGTATCTACCAGCTTTGCTACAACTGTTCTTACCGACAGTAACCCAGTAACCTTTTTTTCTAAACAGCAATATATTGATGGTCCCACATAAACCTTTTAATATTAACAACCATTATGGCACTCTTGTCCTTTCTGCCACTTTTTCAATCAACACATGCACCCATATGATGTTATGACTACAATTAAAAGGGCCCTGAAACACTTTTTTGAGTAACCGTGAAATTAATTCACTGGAAAAGTGTATTGCCTCAAAAAATCAACGCCACAAAACTTTTAAAAATCTGTCCAGTACAAGCGGAGCTAAAAAGATTTGTCACATGCTGCAATCGCATTCTCTCTTCTCTCGTCCCAACGAAAGCGCTGGAAGCTAAGCAGGGAGGGATGGGAGGAGCAAACAAAAAATGTCACGCGCGCCTCCTGACCTTGAGCACTTTTTATTTTTTTTTTTTCTTCTAATGCGCAAGTTTTTCAGTGTGATTGCGCGTGCACGCGTGGACAAGTAGCGGCCTCCCGCGGCGATCTCTGTAACGACTGAGCGCGCCATGTTCAAATCAGCCAATGGCAGACAGATGGGCTTAATACGAGTGATTTTTGGGCTTATTCCGTGATTTGTAGAGAGAAGAGAAAGCAATTTTTAGCTGACTTTGATAATTTATTGCGAATTCTAGGCCACATGCTGTGCTACAGTATTTGGATGATTTGATTGATATGTGGGGTTTAACGTCCCAAAACCACTACATGATTATGAGAGACGCCGTAGTGGAGGGCTCCGGAAATTTAGACCACCTGGGGTTCTTTAACGTGCACCCAAATCTGAGCACACGGGCCTACAACATTTCCGCCTCCATCGGAAATGCAGCCGCCGCAGCCGGGATTCGAACCCTATAGTATTCGGCTCGCGTGTTGTCGGGAGCCTCTACTACTGATTGGCAGTGCTTGTTGACTATGCTCAAAAAGTTTTGCAGGGCCCCTTTAAAGGAAGTCCTCAAAGATACCGTATTTACTCGCATAATCCTCACGCTTTTTTTTGTCCAGAAAACTGACGAAAAGTTGGGGGGTGTGAGAATCATGCGAGAAAAATTTTCCGCGAAAAGTATGAAGCAAAAAAAAAAAAAAGAAAATTGGCCCCGATTCACAATTCTAATGCTAGCAACTAACTGTAAGTTTTGAGAAGTACTAATAAAGACCTACCTTAAAAATAAAAGCACTAGTTCAACAGAAGGCAAGATTTATTTGAGACACAAAAACTGCAAGAAAATTGTAGAGAGTTTTGGCATACCGTACACAAAGCTTTACGCATTGCGGGTGCAGCATTACAATCATTTTAAACTTGAAAGCAGCCGTGTAGCTTCCACATCGCCACGTAGTGTAACCATAAAACCGATACAACGTACACTAACATTCCGCAACACACACTTGCCACTCTGGCTTAGCTTAGATTGGGGCTTCGTGCGTTCATAGTATATGCATAACGCTTAAGAGATGGCGCTGCGCTGTCGTGCACTATCATCATGAGTGGCTAAGGAGCAGACGACATTACAGCTGCAATTTTTGAGGGTGCGACAATTACAGTGCAGTCCACTTATAACGATACCACATATAACGATATATCGGTTATAACGATGGGTCGACTTAACAGTCTCATTTTATGCATTGGGGCTATGGGGAAAAAAACCATATATAACGATATGTTATCCACCGCATATCGGATACAACGATGAAAAGTTTGCCGTGGACGGCATGTTTCATTCAGAATAATCGTAACATTTAGATTGATAAGTTCCTCTGAAACGAACTATGCCGAGACAAGACGAAAAGTTAGCGTAGGCGAGTACGTATCTGCCACCACTGCAGCACAGCGCCGGCAGCGCGTCCCGGCCGTTCAAAAAGCTGAGGAGAGCATCGCAAGTTGGCGCGGCGCGCTACAGATGGCGCCAGCTGTGTCACATTTTGCGCCTCGTCGCGCGTCGACCGCGGAGAGGCTGAGAAAATAAAAAAAAAAAAAAATGCGAAAAGCAAAGCGCCGCGCTCCGCGGCTCCCCGCCTTCTACAACGGCAAGCCGGCAAGCTACTCGTAGCTTGCCGAACGAAAGCGGGAAAGAGAGAGAAAATAAAAAAAGCGAAAAGCAAAGCGGCGCGGCGGCATCGGGGCAGGGCCTCGTTGGCATTCCGGCTGTGTACCTCTGGCTGTGCTTTCTTCCTCCCCTTGCTCCCACCCCGCCCCTTGCTCCCACCCCGCCCCTTGCTCCCACCCAGCCTTCGGTCAGTCTCTCTTCCTCAGCGAACCCGTGATGCGTTCTTCGGAGTAAGAAATAAAGTCTTGTTTTTGACATCCTACTATCTACAATATTTATTAATTGGTGAAAATAGCGAAATGAAGCCTGGAGCTACAAAAGGTACGTCCAGCGACGATTTTTTGGCGGTAGTCCAGATATAACGATCACCGGTCATAACGATCATATTTTTAGGTTTTCTCGATATCGTTATAAGTGGACTGCACTGTACTAGAGAAAAAGAAATGATACTTTTGTTGGGCTATGCGGGAGGTGTGAGAACTATGTGTGTGGGAGGACTATGTGAGTAAATACAGTAGATTTAAAGCGTAAGACAGCAATGGCAGTACGAAGTACGACAGTGTACTCACAGTGCGTCGACTGCTCTTGCGCTTGCCACCTTTTCGGTGAGACTTGCGGCTGCTGCCAGTTGTTGTCTTGCGCCGCTTGACCGAACTTGCCTTGGTCTTAGTCTTGCGCTTGCAGCGGTGGCCAGTGCTGCGTCGCTTGCGCTTTGTTGCTTTGCGGCCCGATGACTTGCGACTTGATGCTTTCCGACGTGTAGGTGCTGAGGTACGTTTTGCTGGGGTACGTCTAGCTGATGATAACGAGCGCTGCTGAAATCGACAACAGGAGAAGGACTGAATGAAACAGTTCACAAAGCCATGTCTAAACATTTACCTCTGCTGTTGTGCACCTTCTACCCATTCCCACCAGCGCAACAAAAGCTATGAAGACAATTAAAGTGAGGTCCCTTGTCAAGAGCAGACATGAAGATAAAATAGGACATTGACCAAGATAAAACCAAATAAACACAAGACGTTTCAATCCCCGTATGGCAGCCTTACTCACAAATGAAAAATTGGTGCATGAGCAGCCAGTTTATGTATGACGTTTCCACCAAACACACGAAAATGTCTGGACACAAAGTAGACTGGGGTAACGCAAGAAAAACAGAAAAAACTAGTCATCTCGGCTTCATATTGAATCTACCACAATCAAGACAACGATGCAAACACTGAATCGAAATGGCACAAACTTTCCACACGTCTACACACGTTGCTTATATCACATTTTGTAATATACATGGCCAGACTTCTGCGGCACTGATTTTTCGTGAGCTGGAGCAGCTGCTGAAGCACAATTATCATCGACCCGCACGTCCGAACGTGACTAAAAAGTGTAAAAGTGTGATTATCAACAGCCATGATCTCGTGACGTGAAAGCTGCAGACCATGTACACACGGAAGCGATCATCCGACTAGCGGCGTACCATGACAGAGCATCACGGCGGCCGCAGCCAATCGAGGGCCTCGAAACGACCTACAGACATTTGCTTTTTGCGCGTTTGTCCAATGCCTCCTCTAGAAAGATGCCTGCGATGTGAACCGAAGAGCTGGTTTCTGGCCCTCTCCTGCTCTCTCCTCGTCCACTCCCCCAAACAGTGTCGGCTGCGAGAACTCGCTACGGCGGCTGCTTTATTCCTCATGGCTTTTGAGATTAAAGCAATGTCTACTGCCGTCCAGGAGGCAACACAGTCATGCCTCTGTAATGGCATCACTTCTGAATCCAGTGGAAGTAGCCTATTTACGCCCATATTATCTGCAATTTTTTTCCCGATTTTGATGCCCTGAGGAGGGAGCGTGCAAATTACGCGTAAATTTCACAAGCGCATACGAAATATTGTGTCACAGTTCTAACGCACGCAGTATATATTTAAAGAAATAAATAGGAGCACAAACGAAGTGCACTTATTATTTGGAAAGAATTAGCGCGTACTTTAACCAGTCAGACCCGGTCACGCGTGGTTTAGCGGAAATCGCTGATTGCGAAGTTCAATTGGGAATCATTGTAGTGGCCGCTGCCACCGCCTTCTCAAAGCGCATCGTCCTCAGTTCCGTCGAGTGCGTTCAAACATTTCATTTTCCAGAAGCTCTTTCGACAATGCTGAGAAAAACTAGGTCCCACGACACGGCGTTACCGGAAGAGCTAAGTATCCGCACACATTGTAAAGGCCCCCTTCAGTGACAGGAAACTTGCATTAGCAAGAGCACACTCTTATGCTTTTTTGCGTGCCGATCGCGCCGGTCATCACGTTGAAGTTCGTTCCCTTGAGGTGCTTTGAGGTGCATGCTTCCCGTTTTTTTCGACGAAATTAACGACAGCGAGCTTCAATATCGCCGTATATATAATTACAGTACCACATCGCAAGGGAACCGTGAAACTACGTCAGCCAGATGGCTGTGAGCGCTCCTCAGGAGGGAAGCACTGAACCACGAGGAACCACACGTCCCCATGGGAAAGCATGTGATGTTGCAGGCGTCTAAAGGAGGCATTGGGTTGTTTCTAGAGGGAGGAGCCAGCTGAGGCGGGAAATTTGAATGCGGAGAAATTTTCTCTCCGCTGAGCTCAAGATCCCCGTACCTGGTTGCGCCATTGCAAAGCAATTATTGTTTTAAAAACGCTTTCTTTTTTTCTTTAGATTTCCGCAATACTTTTTACCACCTCTGCAGGCCCCCCAATTTTTGAACACACTTCTGCATGTTTTTCAGTGAAGATATTTTGGAACTAGAGAAATGCCTACAGAAACTGAAACTGAGATTTTCAGAAAAAACAATTTTTCTTTTCCATTATTTTTTTTGCAATTTGATCCCCATGCCCCACTCGTTGGTGCTGAGTTGGTGCTGAGCTTCTGGTTGAAAAAGTGCAACTCATTATTGGCTACATCAGCACCATGCCCAATGAGAAGCATAGGTAGCGTCAAGATGTCGAGGCATTCATCCAGCCAGATTTATGATGAAACAAGCACAATATGCACTAAGACTTGACAAGGACACCAGACAAAATGCTTACTAGCAAATGAAAGTTTTGATTTTGGAGAGAAGGTTCTTATACACATGCATCACACAAATACACAACACCACAAACCACCTTGTTCTCACAAACAGTGTGAATAAACGAAAGACTGCAATGATAAAAAAATTTTGTACAGAAGGGAAGCACATGTTCAACCCCCAAATACAGTCGACTCCTCTTCTCTAAACGGAACTCGAAGGGGATCCATAAAACTGTTCCATTTATCAGAAGTTTCATTTAGGCAAGGTACACTTATTTTGTGAACCAAGACCTGTATTCAAATTGCACAAACCTCACCTTACTCATGAGGATGAGTAGGAGAAAACAAAGAGTGAAGAGTGGTTTGTTTGGCAAGCTTGAGTTGTTTTTTCACAAAGTTTCACCCATGCCTGACAAACTAGCTAGAAATTCTGTACAAGCCTCATGCTCAAAACAGCACTGCAAAAGTTCAACAGCCTCTTTAGCTGATCGGTCTGGTGGCACCACTGCACTGGCAGTATTGTCATTACATTCATCGCTGAAGGGTTGATTCTCATCGTGCACTTCGGCAATCATTTCCTCGAGTCTCTTCACAACAGGTACACAACAACATTTTCATCAACCGATTTGTAGTCCTGCAGCGTGAAAGGGGCAGAGGGTACGACCTGACTGAATACGATCTCAACGTCAGCATCAGCAGGGCTTTTTTCTTCATCAGGTACTGCTTTCTTGTGCTTGAAAGCCAGCATGGTGAAAGCATCTGGGTATTGTTGTTACCTTCACTTGCTCCCAGGCACAAGCCAAAATGTGGATGGCTGCCAATAAATCTATGCTGTAGCATTTCCTGCTGCCTGCTCTACGCAGCATTTGATGGAGCAATTGTCTGCGGTAATGAACTTTATTGTTCTGAATAACCTTTTGATCCATTGGTTAGATCACTCCCTTTGCATTGGCTGGCAAGAACTCCAGAGTGATGGCTTGGAGTACTTAAACCTGACGGTGGGCTGGGCAATTATTCGCGATGAAGACAACCTTCCTGCCTTGCCTCGTAAATGTTGCGCCTTCCTCCCGAAGCCAGTTTTCAACAATGGCCATGGTCATCGGCGCCTTTCCGTCCCCATGATACGCAATGGGAAGGTGTCGAACGTTTTTGAAACAACGTGGGTGCCTTGATTTTCCTGTTACCAACAGCTTCAATTTCTCATCTCCTGCCATGTTTGCACCCACCAGCACAGTGATGCGATCTTGACTGCATTTTCCTCCACTACAGGCTTTGCCTTTGAAGGTGAGTGTCTTTGATGGAAGCGCCTTATAAAAAAGACCCATCTCGTCGACGGTGAAGACGTCTCGTGGCTCAAAGCTCATCAAAATTTCCTTAAACCGCCCCTGTTGCCAGTCGGTGCAAATGTCCCTGTTGACTGCACCACTCTCACCTGAGATTGCTTTGAAGACTAGGCCATGGCGTGCTTTAAAGCGGCTGAGCCATCCATCGCTTAAGACAAAGTTCTTAACACCCATTTGCATGGCGATCTGTCGAGCTTTGTGTTCGAGAATTGGTCCGCTTATGGTCAAATTGAAACTCCGTGCACGCTTGAACCACAGAAAATGAACTCTTCTAGTTGTTCATAAGGCGTTGTACGCATCCGCATCTGTTTAGATGTAAAGGTCCCATTCTAAACAGTGCCTTCAATCTTTCCTCCGTCTTTCCAGATCCGTGACAGCGTCGATTTCGGGATGTATTTTTTCGCCACCTCTATTTTGGGCAGGCCACTTCAAACCAGCTCCTGAAGAATTTGCAGCTTTTTTTCAAGCGAGAGTGTATGGTGCAGCCGCTTCTTTTCCATGAGGCTGAAATAACACCGTGATCCACCGCACTTCGCCGCACAAATAGGCCCCACGCACAATTGACTCGCCGACTTGGCTCCCACAGCCACAAGCGAAAATGGCTACTGCATTGGCTTGTCTCGATCTCAAAGTGTTGCTATGGTTGTGAGACGACCTTTGGCATGAGCGAGTCTATGCTGTGTTTAGAGTTTGTGCCGTTTAACCGTAGGTGAACAATGAGCGCTGCTTCGATTAACCGATTAATTTTACTGCGCAACACATAGAAATCCAGCCATATGAGCCCGTTTATTTTTGTTAATGAGGCATTTTCGTTTAAGTGAGTTCCATTTATTGGAAGTCCACTGCAACAAGACAAAACATGCACTGGGTCATGTTATGCCTGAAACGGCAATTCCAGAATCTATTTGCAGAACAAATGCTTGGCTGACACACCTATCTTCTTCTTCAATTCAAAAGGCTTCAATCCTTTCTCCTGTGGTTAGCTTATCGTGCTTGTCGATTATTACTGTATCAAAAAAGTTTGCCTGGCCCCTTGGCCTGAACAGAGTTTTTAAATCATCGTGAATATTGCGCTTCTTTCGTCATGAACCTTTACCAACATGTTACTGGCAGTCATCCTAATCCAGCTAGTCTCTTCACCACTTAGTGTTAACACCAGGAACAACAAGAAACAGGGTTGGTCACTACTCACGCAGGGTTCAGGTGACGACGCAGTTACTTCCTCAATGGCTGCACGACGGCGCTGAATGCGGGTGCGCACAGTTTCACTGGCTCGTGTACGGGCAATGGCTCGGCGAAGGCCGCCCACTTGCCCAGGCCTAAACCGTGATGCCAGCATGTCTCTGAACTCTTCCATCACATCATCAGGCAGGGGCTCATCTGTGACATCAGTTCAGAAAACACATAAAGAACACTGAGACTCTCAGAACAGTCCTAGGCATCTAAATTTCACAACAAAGAGTGACAGCCAAAAAAGTGGCTGCAAGGATAAAGTAAAAATATTCTATTTGAAATCCCTTTTGTTCTTCTTATTTTAAAATAAACAAAAGAGAATACGTATATTTGAGGAGCAGCAAAGAGCTATGTACAGCAGCCGCTTGACAGGGTTCTCGAAACCCAGCAATGAAATTTTCACAGCAGCCGATGAAAACAGAGTGGTCTACTCAGCTTAGAATTGTAACTACCGTAGCGGACTGTCAACTTGGCAACACCAAAGTCACACATGAGCTATCTAAACCACACCAGGCCTTTTCACAGGTAAACGTGAAACGCACACGTGGCCTTGACCATTCTAAAATTTCGGGTAGGTACATTACTTCCAACAAAGCACAACACAAACAGAAGTTTTTATGCAGAGCTTATTCCTCGTGGTGCTGTAGCTAAGAAAACAAGCCTGAATCGGCTCGCGATTGTCCATGTTGTTTAAAGGAACACTAAAAGCAACTATTAAGTTGACGCTGATTGTTGAAATGACGGTCCAGAAACCTTGTAGTGTTACTTTAATGCCAACAAAAGGCTTACTTTGAAACAAAATCGCGTTTTAGAGGTCCGCATCAGGTTAGCGCACTTGAAATCACCCGCTTCAACAAAACATCTGACGTTACTGTTGCCGTGAAGAACGTTACCCAGCTTTAATGCCCGGCCTCCAACACTATAGTAGCAGCAGAGGGAAAGTAGCGGGAGCCAAAGCAGCAACAACGGCCACAGAACAATTTTTAGCCATGGCCTTCAAAATTGCAGGCGCGCTTGGTTCAACTGGGCCCTGCTGGATGGCACTACCTGTTCAGTTTAACCAGGCGAAAATTGAATTTTTGAACCACTCGTGCCATTCTCCATAGTAAAGTCCGGTGGTTCATTTTTCCATGAATCAAACAGACACCAACAAGCAGCATTTTATTGCGTCTCTTAATGCACGGAAGGTTCTTTATTTAACGCAGCTAGATCGATTACTATTTATTAACCGTTGCCAATTTTTCTGACGTTATTGGAACCATTTTGAGAATGTCCTACTGCAGCGCATCTACTCTTGTGCGTTTACCTTAATTTCTCGGTAAGTAGGGCACTGATGTTGATAATATTGTCATTTTCGACATTGTCATACATTAAGCTTTCACTCTGATGTAAATTGTTATTTGACTTTTGTGTCCCTTTACCTCCTTATGTCTATCGTCTCACTGCACCAATATTCTGCTGTACTGCGCAAAAATCCTCCATATTATGCTCTTTCACAATTCAAAACTTGGATTATTTCATTTGAAGCTTTTAGCTCTCGACCTATTATTTCAAGGATTCAACATGCGTTCCAGACTGTTTGACCAGACACAAAAACACCTACCGTACTTACTCGATTCTAGGCGCCCCCTTTTTTCATGATCGTGATATTAAAAGTTAGGGGGTGTGTGTGTGTGCTTAGATACGAGAAATCGAAAAATGACCGCACAACCCCACCCCCTTTTGCGACACGAGGTAGACACGAGAAACTGCATTTTAATTGGACAAAAAAAATGAAAAGAAAAAATAGGCTCACACAGTGAACCCACCAACTTTGTATTAGGTCAGCCACTATCACTGCCGCTCAAGTCCGTTGCACTACTCGAGTGCGTTCCACCATTCGAGCAGTCACTCTCTATGTCCCACAATAGATCGTCTTCAGTGCCGTAAGCTGTTGGTTATACAACATTTCTTGAACAACTTCGAGATAACATCGACTTTGATTCGTTTTCCAGCGTCCGAAATCTATCTAGCCACGGTGGACCCTTTCTGCATCTTTCCTGTCGGCATTTTATTTCGGTTGGGGTTCCGGATCCACTCTTCGTACTCATGTAGAAGGAAAGCCTTGAACGGCTTGTTTACCGAGACGTCCAGGGGTTGCAGCACTGGTGTCATGCCTCCTGGAATCACGACCAAGTCGCATTCGCTCGCAGCTTGGTCTTCACACACGGGGTAACGTGGCCGCAAAAAGCATCTAGAACAAGCATGAACTGCGTACCCGAAGCTCCCCCAAGCAGTGCCCAGGGTGCCACTGCTACACAACCCAGATCCAATCTTCCATTATCCATCATTTCTCATGGACTCAGACGATGACATCATTCGGAAAACACTCATTTTGGGCATGTTTTTCCTCTTCAGAATTATGTAGGCCGGAAGCTTGCGGCCGCATGACTGTGACACGCTGCTTCTCGTACCCTGTCATCATCACCCTCCCTTTCCAGGCTCCTATCTCATTAATGGTGCTTGCTCTCGGCATATCGGAAAAATGAGAATCTCATCGGCGTTGCCGATCTGGCTGCAATCGTAGCTGTTGAGTCTGCGGAGATCCAGCACATGTTGCTGAAACGCAACCAGTTTGTTATTAAAATCACTTGGCAGCTTTAGGCATATCATGCAAAGAAAATCCATTCCTTTGCATCATGCGCTCCACCCAGTCATGGCTAGCACGAAACGTGGCGCGGGAGATCTCCGTTCCTCTCGCGATCTCCATTGCCTTCGTCTAAAAGGCATCGGCAGTGACAGCGAAGCCCCTGTTTCTTTCGCTCAGCGAACAAACTCACAGACTTCCTCTTCGAGTTCGGGGTGTAGGCCCTTGCACGGTCTCATTAATTTCTTGCGAGTCGCGGCATCCTTGAGAATCTGTTCCCGCTGCTTCCTCCACCTGATGATACAGGTTCGGTCCACGCCTAACTCTGCAGCAGCTTTGTGGTTGCCATTGTCTTCGACAAACACGATCGCAGCTCGCTTAAACTTTGCAGGATGCCCTCTTTGAACTCATTCTGACCGATATAAGGGCTATCAAAAAACTGACAAAGAAACGTCAACATGCTAACCACCAGCGCTACCTGTCGGGACTTGTGAATTGGATTGGCTGCTGACTCTTGTGCCCCCATCTCTTGTGTAAACCTAGCAACATACGACATGGCGGCTTCAGAGATTAGCAACGAGAGTGCGAGCTTGGCAGCCCTGACTGCACCATGTTCACAGAAAAAAAAAAAGAAAGAGGGTTGCTTAGATTCGCAATCAAACTTTTTTCCAAAATATTTATAGTGAAAACAGGGGGGGTGCTCAGAAGCGCGTAAACACAGTATATTCGAAATGACACATTTCTCTGTTGAATATAAATTTGAAAATACATTGAAATACATACATTGAAAATAAATTTTTCTGTTGAACATACATCTGAAGATACGTTGAAAAGCATGCATTGAAAATACATTTTTCTGTTGCCCACACAGTGGGTAGAGCCTCATATGCATACCGTATTTACTCACATAATAGATGCACTCGCATAATAAACGCACCCCCAACATCAGTCGTCAAAATCAGTTTTTTTTTTTCTCCAGCATAATAAACGCACCCCCCACATTCGTGCGCTGCAGTTCTGCTAAACGACGCCTGCCACATTCTTGCCCTTTCGATCTCTTGTTTCTTATTATTATGCCGACCCCCTTCAGCCACCGTGGCTTGCTCCCTTCCCCTCTTTGCCCGCTGCCACACGCTCTACTGTTGCTCTTTACATCTGAGAGGCACTGCGCCGTGCTCCCGACCGAGTTGCAGAAATTAGGTGCCTTTTCTCATCTTCTAACCACTACCACCACCACCATCTGAGCGCGGCACATCCCATGTTTTTTTGTTATCCGTGCCCCACAGAAGGGTTCGCGAATGGTGCGACTGTAGAGACATCGCAGCTGATAAGTACACAGCGAGCAAAGGTCATGAAACTGCCCATGCCAACCGACGGTTGCTTCCTGCAAGTACGAAACTTTAAGGCCCACCCACATGCCCGTGATTTTCGAGCGACGACTGTTGCCATTGCTCTCCCGAATGGCCATGCGTCACTATCGCGTTGCAGGTTTCTGAAAAAAATCGCTTGTCGCCCAGGAAACATCGCGGCAATTACCGCAACAAGCAGCACCCCGAATTCTTGCTTCGATTGAAATTTGCTCTTCGTGCTTGTTATTTGCACATACTTCAAGTTTCTACACAAACTTCTCATGTGAACAGTGAGACGGCAGCCGTATTTCATTGTTAATCCTGTTATCGACAGTTCGTTTTGTTGCTTCAGTGGTAGCTTAGTGCAATGTCAATGGTGTCGTCACGGTCGTTCTGCAAGGTTGCCCCGAAGTTGGCGAAGTGCATAGCGCACACTTCTGGGTGCCCCTCGTGATCACAGCAAATAGTACCAGTTGCGGTTAAACGATTGCGAGAAAATAAAGCCGCAAAACGATTTCATGGAGTGCACGGGCAGTACAGGGACAGCATGCAAAAGACAGCATGCCTTCAACCACAGAAGATGAGTGAAGTGCAAAAGAGATGCTTCCAAACAGCGTACGCATATGTCAATTGCAAAAAGCGAAGCAACCTAACTTTTTTTTTTTAATACCGAATTTTTCGCTCCTCTCGAAAAAAGTTTTCGTAAAATTTGCCCCGCATAATAAACGCACACACAACTCTGCTCCGATTTTTCGAGAAAAAGAAAGTGCATTCATTCCGTGAGTAAATACCGTACTTGATACTATGCGCACACATAATTTGTAACATCACCACCTCACCACCACCGCCAAAAGAGAAATCCCTTGTCAACACAGCACACCTTATCCGTCCGTACAGAAACACAACTTACATTTGAAACAAGAATTTACAGCCAATGCACGATCATCACCACTGAAAATGGGCATTGAAGTGAGGTGATACACAGTGAACGACACTAAATGAAAACTGTACATCTTGTCCTGAAGGATATTTTAACTATGCTGGTACAAGTTACACAAAACAATAAACATCCCTCGTTGCTGCCAGACAACAAACTCCTCATGACTACCAATTGACCAAAGCATTTGATCCTTTATGCCATATGTAGGCATTCAGCGGCGTGGCAATGCAGA